CCTCTTGGATAAGAAGCAAAACATCTTGAAGAAACCAAAAACAGAAGTTCAGCTGCCTTTTATTGACACTCTCAGAGTTGTTATATTGATTTATTTAGTAGATTTCATCCTGTATTAGTTTCACAGTGCATATATGGTCCATGTTTAGGTAATTGCTCCAGATTCAGGCTACAAATGTGAAGTGTTTGATGAACACTAAACTCTTTAATTGAGTTTTTATTTGCACATGACCTTTATGCGCTTGCTTTGTTGTCATCTATTTGTTTACTATTGTTTGCAATTAAAAGTTTCTTCGCTATAATAGCTTTGACATTTTAATTTTCCTTCTGTAAGGAGTCCAGATTTGATTTGCGTGAACAACAAATGAGAATATGAAGAAACAACGAGCAGAAGGTCTTCACCTGTTGGCCGTCTTGTCCTGGAGGACCTGAGTCACCAGGTGGTCCAGGTGAACCCTGCAGGTGTCGGTAATTAATCAGTAAATGAAGGATGCATGAACATTAATCTTTATAGTAAAACGTTGGTATTGGTTGTGATATGTTCTGTAGTTTACCTTCGGTCCTCGTTCCCCTGCTGCTCCTAATGATCCGTCTTCACCCTGCGGACCCTGAGGAGACCCAACACACATTCAGTCACTTCTACATGAGCTGTACCGCCGTGACGGATCAATAAAGATTATAGAAAGTCATATTCGAATGAAAATAAAGACGAGACATAAACAGAAGCAGCAGCCGATGCTCGGTACCCACTCACTGGGATTCCTGTTGGCCCCTGAGGCCCCTGAGGTCCTGGAGGCCCTTTGCTCCCTCGAGGTCCAGCTTTACCCGTCGCTCCGTTGGGACCCGGGACACCCAGAGGACCCTAAAAATAAAAACAAGGAACAGATGTTGGAATTATGATCAGACTTGATGTTTTTATTACAAAGTGAATTGAACAATAAACCCAGCATGGTTTAATCTTTAATCTGCTCCACGTTCATTTTCTTTCACTGCAGCGTCCAGCTGATCAATAATTGCGACTCGTTTCAATCAATTTATCATTTGAGACGAATCCGGTTGATGTATTAGACACGTATACAAGCACACGTGTAAACAAGACGTTTTGTTTTCCGCATCAGTGGAGCAGAACAACGCAGGACGACTGCTGACATTTCGATTAATTTTGCGATAACGTCGAGCAGTTTAACGAGTTACAGGGACACCAGTGATGTAACGAATCAGTGAAATCACCTTTACATCATGTAAAAGCAGCTGTTTTTCATTCAGTATTAAGTGTGTCCATGCACTAGCATCACACACACTTGCTGTTATTGCTCAGGCTTATTCTTATAGATTCTTTCGACATGATTTTCGGCGCCTGTAAGCGATTCATTGTAAGATTTTTACAGAATTTGAAAAAAAAACAAAAAAAAACAAAAACTGTGTATAAAATCTCCATTGAAATTAATGTAAACTCAAGTCAATAAAATCTCCCTGATGTTTAAAAGAACTTATCAAACAGTACTTCTTTTTGTCTGTTTCTCACACACGTATTGATGGACAAACCATCCGCATGTTTGGGTGTACTTTCAAAATAAGAGTCCATGCTGGTCCATAGCCAGGATTTCTTTTTTCTTTTTTTAGAAACAGGTCTCAGTTTCATAGCACATAAGAAATACTTGTATTTGAAAAGGAGTCAACAGGATTCTGTGACGTATGCTACTTTTTCAAAGTAAAAGCTCACCGATGCTAAAAGGACCTGATCAGGGTTTGTGACATGCTGGCTTTTCAAAATAAAATATACTTGTATAAGTTATACCTTATGTGCAAGTCCAGCAGGACACATCAACTGACAAAAGCTGCATTGACAAAGATTAAAAATGTCTTCAGAAATGTTATAATTGATATTGAAGTGATTCAGTTTTGACCTCTTGTTGTGTGAGGTGTAACAAAAAAAAAAAGCAGCTTAATAAATCGCACAAGTCTGATTTGTTATTGGGCAAATATGCAGAACTTTGAATTTGATTCATAATACGTGTGACCGACTTTTCCCATGTGCATGAAATATACAAATCTCTGAGATATTCGATACCAAACTGAACAAACCACCCTGCAGTGCACATTAAATAAGAAAAAAAAGCAACTTAATCTCCATTAGTGAAAGTGCAGTCGAGTGAAAACACTGGATGCGAACGTCCTGACTGCTCTATGACTCATGACGTACCGTTGCTCCCTGAATCCCTTTAGGTCCTTCATCTCCAGGTCGACCCTGTTAGAAACAACAACAACATTTGTGCTGGTTGATTAAAAAACAGAAAGTTTAAAAAGACGATTTGATGCTTCTGAAGTTTTCCCAGTGAATTCAACACTTGCTTTAGACTATTAATATTTAGATTATATGCAACAATCAGCCACAACAATAAAACCGCTGACAGGTGAAGTGACATTGATCATCTCAGTATTCTGCTGAGAAATTTATTTCCCAACTAAACAGTCGATAACACAGAAACTACATTACCAAATTCTTAATATTTTGTTTTATAACGTTCAAGCTACACAAGCTCAGTTTCGTTTATTATCATCAAACATGCTAGAAACACATAGCAGCGTACAGAATAAATAACATTTATCTAATTATAGATCTACAAAACCTCTAACAGTATGTAAGGATAATAAGTATTTTAATATTCATTCATCTCAATCGTCTACTTTTCCACTACTTTGAATCTCTGCCTCTGTTTGGTGAATTTTAAACACCTTTTTCTCTTATTATTGTCATAAACGTGTAAATGCTGCTGTTGGAGGAATGTTGCTGCACATATTGTTTTCCGTGTTGCGTCTGCAAATTAAATTTTCCCCAATAAATGATTCTATTTGTTGTTATTATGACTACTATTATTAATAATTCTTATATGTATTATCATTATTGTCAAGTGCAATGATTCTGTGCAATACATCCTTTTACTTTCAATTCACTTCCTGTTTATTTATCTGGTTGTTATTTAACTTACATTTCTGTTCTTATGTTTTAGTTTTTATTTCTTGGCATCCACTGAGACACTTTGCATGTTGCATTCTTATTCAATTTCTATTTAATTACAAACCTTTCTGCATTTATTACTTATTGTATTCTGGCAAACCAGTTTCCTCCAGGATGAACAAAGTTGATCTCATCTCATCTTTATAGTTCAAGTCCACCGACAACACGTGGATGAAGCAACAACACTGAGCCCTTTTGTCACATTTATGGCACAAAGTCTCCCACCGACGGTTTCTCTCACCTGAGCTCCCCGAGGCCCCTTTTCTCCAGGAGGACCCGGCAGACCCTGAAACACAAAAACAGACGAGTCACAACCTGCCGATCGCAGCAGAGCTTCACACGTCTGGGCGCCGACGGGGGAGGAGCGAAGAAGAAGCTGCGAGACTTTTCTGTAATGTCAGGAACCAACATCAACACTTTGATAGCAGAGAAAATCTGATTTATTTGTTCTATTTTTGAGGTTTAGTGGCCTTAATTAAATGTTATCAGAAGAACAACATGACAGCAAATCACAGAACAAATGAAATGACACCAAGAGTTAAAGACACCAAAAATACTAAACATTAATAAATAAATGATCTTATAAATGCTTCTGCCTTCACACCTGCTGCTTTTACCATCGTATTTCATTCTCTACTTGCCTACAGTCGGCAGCAACAAACAATAGAAACCATTTGATCCCTCAACTAGTTGAAAATAAAGATGATTTTTTTTATTTTTTCAGACTTCTAAAAGTGACATTTTATGACGTTACTCTCAACCAAGACCCTTTAAGTCGTGCAGCCAGATGCTGTCATCACTTCAGGCTGCATGTTTGCATGAAATATAATATATTCATGAATAAAACTGAAGTTAAAACTTGTTAAAGGTTCCATGTGGAGCCATTTTTTCCAAAATAATTTAAGCCGCTTTAAACACATGTGTTGCACTTTCTGCTTTAACCATCACTCTGTGTATTTTTGCAGGATTTATCAGTATTGCATGTATGTAGAGAATCTTATCATGAACAAGGAGCTGCACTAATTCAGGACGACTCTGCTGCTGGGTCCGACTCTAAAGCTGTCTGCAGAGTGTTCAGTCATTTATTTATCTGCTTGCTGACTGTTTCTGTCCTTATTGCAGCTTTCCCAGCACCATATTCAGACACATTAAAGGGCAAAGTTTGCTCGTTGTACGCTTCATAAAGCTCAAACTAAAGCTCAGGTTTTAAACCCTGCTGTTGTTTAGTTTGACACCTGCTTGTTTTCTTTCTTCTTCTTTGCATTTTGCCGACAAACTGCAGCAAACGTGGGCTCATTACCGCCACTTCATCAGTGGAATAAAAGTCATAAAGTCTATGTGGAATTTTAAGTGAAACTTTACATGCGATGGTGGACTTGAGGTCTTGGTGGATGACTGAACTCTGACAGATTGATGGATTTCTGCACGGCGCCAAGCAGCCATGTGATGAGAAAACAGTCCAACGACACTGAACTTCAGACAACAGTCCCACTTCCATTACTGAGACCAACTCTTTCCATGCAAGAGGGACTTTTCTTATTCCCCGAATCTAACCAACCAGAGGATGGAGGTTGATTTATAGGGTGAAGAAACTCTGACACGTCCAAAGAACAAAGTTCAACCTGCCAGCTTCATTTAGAAGTTCAACGGAACTGAAGAAAAGTAATCAGAGAGAATTTGTAAAATTATAGATATAACAATAAAACAAAGCTTCATTTAATCCTCTGCATTTTGTATTTGTGGATACATGCAGAACTCTGGTATTTAATTCTGTGCTGGAGGTTCGTTGCTTTTCTTGCATTCAAAGGCTTCTATTTAAAAAATACAAATTAGTAAGTTTTTAGGAAAAAAAATCTGCTCAACCATCTCTGATTTGTCTAAAAATATTAAAGCATGAAATATGGATATTTAGAAATCTATTTGAGGAATTCTAGCTTCATGCATCAAGTGCTCTCCAAAATAAAAGCCTGAAATGTTCACTGTTATTTCTCATCATGTCATTGATTCAGAATCTGTAAGATTTGATTAGTTGATGAAATAATCAGAGTACAGGTGAGTTGAAATATGATGAAAAAAAAGTCAATATGAAAAATCTTTGAGCAAAAATTTACAAAAAAAAAACCAACAAAATCAATGATGTTCAAGTATTTTCAAATTAAAAGTATTCTATGTGGTTTGTTTTGTGTCATTGTGACATTCAGGTAGATACGGTTCAGAAAACATCACTAGTTGACTTCTGCATTATTATTTTTTTCCATTCATGTGAGCTCAAAGATGAACTTTTCCACTTTTTATATTTCAACTCACCCATAAATAGAGAAACTTTGCAGATCTACTTGTTCAATATCGCAAATTAAGAATCAATGACATGATGAGAAATGTGCTAAAAGTGGGTCAAAGGGCAATTAAAAAATAATGTTTTCTCTAAATATTAATTCAAAATTCACAAATGTCATTTTAAATATCAAAAGTTTATTATGAAAGACGTTTTAAGCAAATCAGAGATGGTGGAGCAGGAAGCTGCTGATGATTTGAGATGAAATAATCCACCTTCTTTACCTAATTTCTCACTAAACAGGCTGATTTGCAGACGAGTGACGGTTTCCTGCAGCGTTAGTAGAAACTGTAGAGCAGATTTCACCTGTCAGGAGTCCAGGCCGGACACTGGAGCGACTCATTTGTCCTCTCTCACCTGAATCTCGTTCATTTCACCATCAGATTTGCCCCCAACAAAACCAGCCGCTGCCTCCGTAAACTCCCTGCACACGCCGCTAATCTACTTTTATTTACCCTCCTTGGTGTGACCCCCGTCACAGCAGCTGAACATTACTGAGCCAGCCTCTCATATCCCCCCCGAATAGCACCCAGAGGTTTAAAGTCAGGGAATAAAACATATAAAGATGCTTACTGCAGGTCCTGGCTTCCCAACAGGTCCAGGTAAACCTCGTAAACCCGCCTCTCCCTGGTGCAGGACAAAGAAAAAAGATGTCACTGCGATTGTCTGGCACAGTTAATGTGGCAACTTAACTTAAACACATCATTTAACAAAGTCTGCAATCAGCTATACAGGCAGAAATGTTAACGGCTGAATCGTGTCCCCCTCTGGATTACATCACTGGCTGCTCTCATGTTGGCAGCGTCCCTCTTATCTTAAAATCAGAGAAGCCCAAAGTCACTTATTTAAAAGCAGGATGAACTCACTCTTTCTCCTGTGAAACCCGTCGGTCCTCGCATCCCCACGTTCCCCTGGATCCCCTGATGGACGGTTGCAGGAACAACAGACATTAATTATTAGTTTAAGGCACATAAGCTCATATAGCAACACACAACTGTACAGATGTTCTGGATACACAGTATTAATAAGGTATTGTAAAAACTAAAGTAACATGTTTTATGTCCAGATTGTTTACCTTACAGACTATGAAAAAATAATTTAAAAAATGAATAAATAAATTGAATATGTAGTCATTTCACAATACCATAGTTTTCTGGTTTGAGCGAAGGGTAAACCTTTGAATTGTCCTGAAGCAGTTAATCATGCTGGGAAGTCGTAGGACGTTTGCTTAATTACTTTTTTTGTGTGGGGTTACAGAGCCTATAAAAGGTATTCAGGTCCACTGGAGGTTTTCTCCTTTTATTGCTTTTCGTCATTAAATCAATTTAATTTGGCTTTTTTTTTTTTTTTTTTGACAAGAAATGACTCTTTCATGTCAAAGTGAAAACTGATTTTTACAAAGTAATGCCAATTAATTAAATTAAACCCCTATGAGAGTTGGGACACAGGGTGGAATCAGGGCGGTTAATGCAACTAACACCCAATACAATCATAAAAAAACAATTTCCTAATTGCTAATCTTCTCATATCGTATCTGAATTTGTACACTTTTTTTTTTTTTTAACTTTTGAGAGCCAGACTCGTCACTTTCACTCTTTATGCTAAGTTAAGCTAAGCTAAGCTAGGCTAACTGCTTCGTGGCTCAAACTTCTGAATGACTGTTATTTTGTAGCAGCTGATAGCACAGAAAAGTCTATTATTATTATTACCATTATTCAGAGTGACAATGTTGTTTGGACTATTTAAATAATGATCATCTCACTGCAGAAAATTAAGTGTTTATCAACTCCAAAGCTAATTCTTGTGCAAGATGTTGCTCTAAAAACAAAATTGCATAACATGACAAATGAAAATGACATGAACTTAAAACAAATATGTATATATTTGAACAAAAAAGTAAAAAAAATGTACCTGTATTTATTAACTAATTAAACAAAATCTTTATTCAATACAGTATATATCAAAACAGTGTCTCTCTTTTGGAAAATATTCTGCATTTTTGCACAATTTTATAATTTTTTCAATCATCTACAACAAACGCTTGCACACATATTGAAAGTCTTATCTACTTCTGTTTTTTAATTTAACCTCTAAAAACTCATCTCTATTATTGTTATAGTTTTATTACATTTTTTGCCATGAACATAATCACCTAAAGCCTTAAAACAGCAGTGAAGCAACTTTAGATTGCTGCTTATTTGAGAATGTTTAAATCTACGTAGATCACCAGCTCAAACACTGTAAAGCTACTTTATGTTACGCAACTATAAGTAATTCAACCATACACAATAAAACCGATTCTGAATAAGAATAACGAGACAGAAAGTCTGCCATCGGTACACTGTGATGTTGTTTCGCTCATAATGTGTCCTCGAGCTCATAAAAATCACCATGCGGACAAACTAACAAGGTAAAAATAAACCTGATTTTTACCAGACATGCTACATGTGCTGTAATGCTGCGGGAAGCGGTGCAGGTGCATCTCTTGTATCTCTCCGGCTGAAGAATCACTTACATACATGCCTACTGGGCCCTGAGGTCCCTCCAAGCCCGGCTTCCCCGTAAAACCCTGAGAAAACAAACGCACAAATCGACATATTGACAAAACTGCACACGTGTAACAGATTCCTCAGAGCTGATGGAGGTCACGACTGCGGTTACCTTTTCTCCGGGGGGTCCTGGGGAGCCTGGAGGCCCCGTCTTCCCTGGTGGTCCCTGTCAGATAAAACACACCGTTACCAAAGAGCCAATCGATACCATGTTTATCTGATTGGCCAATGAGAAACAGAGAAACACAGTTGTTTCCCATCTGACCAGGAATTATATAGAAAGGTCAATAACGTTGTGATATATTTAGCTTAGCTTAGCATTAAGAGTGCAGCTGGTGGGAAACTGCTAAGCTAACCTCAAAAAACAGGTTGTACATGTATATTTAATGCAGAAATGCACAAATAGAAAACAATATTGTGTTTTTTAGGTTATAACTTGTAATATTTTGATAAAATTTGATTTCTCTCACACCTTAGAGACTGGTTTTACAAGATGCTTTGCGAAACACTCACATACACAAAACATCAGATAAACCACTAAAAGGAGGCAATAAAACATTAGAAATGTAAGACAGTGATGTAATTTCACTCATATTGTGTGTTCTGGCTTATAAACAAAAACTCTATATGGTCAGTTCAACAAGCTAAAAGACTTGATTTACACCTGAGAGCCAATTGATACCATGTTTATCTGATCGGCCAATCAGATTTGCAGGACGCCAACAGAAAAAAAAGAAGACACCGCTGATCCGAAATGGGATATATTTGAATTCTTTGACATTGCAGTTGTTTCCCATCTGACCAGGAATGAACTAAAAAGGTCAATAACACGGCGATAAATTTAGCTTAGCTTAGCATTAAGAGTGCAGACAATGGGAACGTGCTAAGCTAACCTCAAATACTGTCTTATTTACAGGTTGCATATGTATATTTAATGCAGAAATAGAAAATTAAGGTCTTAGGTTATACATTTGTGTTATGTAATAATAATAATAAACTGGATTTCTATAGAAGCTTTCAAAATGAGCATTACAAGGTGCTTTAAAGAAAATAAACATCCGATAGAACATTAAAATTACTTAAACTACACACGTTTACATACAGCTACACCTTGTATGTAATTTTTATTCATACTTTTTTAACACATGATCAGCAATATCCAGAAGTGCAACACCAGATACTGTCTTCATCATCCCACATGTACCAAATAAGCCAATAATCTTTAAAAGAATAAACGATTCCACTGTTTTTATAGATGCACTGGCACATGTTTTTTTCTACTAGATGTTATATTTTATATTTACACATTTTCTTATTGTACTTTTTCTATTCTATTAGACAGTACAACCTTAAAAAGAGCAATTAAAGCGAATCTTAGAAGGAATAAGATGTTATATAAATGCTTGTCTGCACAGGTGGGTTTGTTCTGACCAATTAAAGCAGAAGTTTAAGGTTTTCTACATCTACGTCTCCACAGACTCGGCTTTAAGTGTTTGTCTCACAAAATATGGATTTACAACCCCGTCAGCTCCTCAGCGTAATAAAGTAGCTGCAGTCTTTTGTTTTCCAACCACGGGATCAGAACTGAAGCGTACCGGAGAACCTGGCGGACCATCTGCTCCTCTCTCTCCAGCAATTCCTTGAAAGCCCTGAAAAACAAACAATGCAAACAATGACGGACGAACAAAGAAGCAAGACGAAAAAAAAAAAAAACCTGCAAAGCCGACTAACAACATAAAAGTGCGAAACAAACTAATTTATTTCTTCCAATTAACGGACGAGCAGCGAGCTGTGAAATTATCGGGTTAAATGAGTTGATTCAGTATTTTACTAATAGTTGTTTAATCTGCCATTTAATTGTTTCTCGGCCAATTCATTAGACGGGATTTATGAGGCTGCTGCGTAACGTCATTATGGATAAATGATTGGTAATTAGGACTTTGATTTAAAGACTCGTCAACGGTTGACTCCTGCAATTAATAACGTGGCGACTGGAAAAATGGAATCATAAAAGTTGGTAGTCAGCAGCAGCACGTGTGGAGTTTGTAAATAGTCAGGAGAGTTTTGACACTAAACATTCAGTCTGGGGCTGTTTTGAAGGTTTTAACTTCTTAGTTTTACTGTAAAGTCTTCATGCTGAAGCATATAATGATGTTTTAGACAGCAGTTGACTTCTGTGGAGCAAAAGTGCAACGACCTCTTCCTGGACCAGGCGTACAATGAAATAAATGAACTTATTTGGTCTGCACATGCATCCAACACCTTTGGAAGAAGCTGGAATAGCTGGATTTCAGACATTATAGCCTAAAACATGAGTGTTGGACTGATGTGGTGGCTGAACAGGAGCAAATTCCTGCAGTCAGTTTCTAAGAATTGATATGTAAAAGCAGGATTCGATGTTCATGTACCAACAAAACACAGCTCATGTGCTTCCAAACTTCCAAACACCAAATGGAGACACTGATGAATTCACAGATTTATGACATGATGTTAAAGACGTAGCACTTGGACACCAATTATGGCAACGTCAAGCCTTAGATTTATCCTCCAGTGGATCTGAAACCCACCAACTACCCAGTGGTTAATGTTGACGTTACGCTAGTTTGAAATGAGCAGAGCTGTGCAGAATAAAGCTGGTTAGAATTCCATCTGAGTTGCTCCTCGTTTGCTCCGACTTCACGATGAAGTAGAACATCATGAGATCAAGTCAGCTTTTCCATTTTAATGATTGCAAGACCTCAAGGCATGATGGAAAACATCTGGATCTCACCTCATCCAACAGCTGACTGGTTTAGATATCGCCTGATGGAAACTTTTCATTTTTTGTGGATTTGGACAGATTCTGATTTTATTTGTTGGTTTTTAAATGTCTATTCTGTCAACAAACATCATAAAGAACATTTAATAAATTAGAATTGTTGTCTATTGTACATCAACAATGGATTGATTTAATTATTTACATATTTAGCAGCACAAAACTTTCTTAAAACAACACCTGCCCAGATGTTTCAGCCCTGACAGGTGGAATATGTGACGCATGTATGTGTTTATGTAGTTTGAGAGGAACGCGTCTGATTTACATGAGAATTCACATAAAACGGAGGCTGAAACACAAACAGACCAAAGGTCGTCTGTGGAGCATTTTAATAAGTCAGCCTGTCAGAATCTAAACTACTGAAGTCTGTCTGAACTCATACGTGTCTGATAACAATTTAAATAATTGGTGTGTTTCTGGAAACTGTCCGTCTTGGCTGCTAACCTTTAACTGCTGCTGCTTTTGCATAAATGAGCCTAATATTTGCTTTCCTCGTTCCCACTTTGAGTCTGAAAAACTGTCGAAACATTAATTTATTTGCTCCGTTAAAGGCCGAGAATTACTGCTCTGCTCTCCTTTTGTTCTCTACGGCAGCAATTAATGTTTTGGAAGATGTTCAAAAATCACACATTAGTTTAACGTGTCCGGAAACATTTAGCAGCATTCTGTCGCATCAATCAGGTGTAGGCATGTTTGATCGACCACACCTGAAACCCTGAGTCGACTCACCTGATACGTTTCACCGGCTGCTAGCACACGTTGCTCTGTCTTGTTAAAAATCAATTTTTTTAAAGTGTTTGTTGCCAGCTTTACCGCCCGCTCATGAATCTATAAAACCCGCCATAATTTTTAATCCCTTGCCGTCTTGTAAAGCCGTAATAATGTGTTTTTATTCCGCTGAACCGTGCAGGTTTGTGGCGAGAAGCCAGAGAAAAAGCAGAATTGAGGGGATGATGTCACGAGCAGCTGAGGTCGTCGGGCGGCTAACGGTCTTACCGTCGGTCCTTTACTACCAGCGCTGCCGGCTGCTCCCGAGGGACCCTGAAACACAGAAACACAGTCAGAAAACACAGACAATGCAATTATTTCCCAGCAGCAGAGGTCAATAAAAGTGCAAACAGACTCTTATTTTGTATTTATCATGTGTTCCTGCACATTTTCTCGAGCGAAACAAGGTTTGCGACTAAATATGACACCAATTATAATGTTTTCAACGCAACAACAATCAAGTAAAACACAAAACTTTCACTGTTAAATAAAACACACTGTACAGAGAATGAACTCGGCACCTTTTCCTCAGCAGCAGCGCCACTGCACTGTACAAAGACTGCCTCCTGCTGTCGAAACCAGCACTTATTATCACACAGCAGCACCTTTCACTCAACTCCTGCAGTGGGGTTTTGACAGTTTGAGGGCAATTCCATCTTAGCAGTGTTTCAGTTTGTCCTTAAAATCTGCATTCGACAGACGTGGAGCGTTAAAATGCACGACGCGGCGTCTCTTCCTTCCGAAAGACAAATCTGGGACTAAACCCAACTAATCAAATGTGTGTGAACGTATTTATCCTGAATAATAAATGCTGGTGCTGCACAGAGCGAGGCAGGAGTTTATGAAACACACATTCATGCACGCCAACACACACACACACACACACACAAACAGCATTTTTCAGGTGATGGGATTGAAATATGATAGAGAATGGGAACCTGTGTACCAGGCTTTCCTTCTGCTCCCTTCGGTCCAGGTGGGCCCAGCAAACCCTGCATGGAAAAACACACCAACACATGAAAACGTGTTTATTCTGCACAACTCTTTGTGTCGTGACAGTAAATCTGAAGGCTGGTGTTTCTGTTTTCTCTCTGCAGGTCAGTGAGACGGATAAGAAGAAACAGAGGCACATGTGTACAAAGATAAACTTCCTCAGATTCTTTGTGCTAAAATGTAATAATTAAGATGAAAAGAACAGAAATGAAGTGTTGTCTAAGGGATGCATGTTGAGGTTTACAGGTGCAGTGGCATGCAAAAGTTTGGGCACCCCTGTTGCTGTGACAGTTGGATGAACTGACCTCCAAAAGACAAGGAAAACAAACTATTTTCAATATTTTAAACAAGATTATTGTGTCATTTTTGTTGCTGTTCAGCTTCAGAGGGAAGGAACTGAAAAGTCTGGCCAGCTGACATCACTTCTGCAGAGGTGTCCAACCTTAACTAACCTGTTAGGAATATGGCTTGTTCACAATCATTGTTAGAAAAAGGCGAGATGGGGCAAATTTTATAACTTTAGAAATACTCCTCAAATCTTGTCCAGCAGCCATAGGCTCCTCTGAGCAGCTGCTAGAACTCCAGAAGTTCAAATTACTGATGTCCACAAGGCATTCTAAGGCTATGAGAAGATGGCAAAGTGTTTTCAGTCTTCTCAGAAAACGAAAGATTGGTAGAAATGCAGGAAGCTTTAGCAGAGCCTGGAGTGGTGGTGTTTGCTTTACTGTGCAAATATAAGTTTCATGGAGGAGTCATCAGGGGAAGAAATTTCCTGCACTCTCGGCACAAAATGCATTGTTTGCAAGTTTGCAAATAAACTTCTAAACAAGCCTGATGCATTTAGGAAACCAGTAGTGTGGGCTAATGAAGCTAAAATAAAACGTTTTGGCTGCAATGAGTAAAGACGGTTGAAAAAATGTTGGTGCAGAATTTCCCAAAACGATGACCTCTCCGGCTGTAAAGGTCAGGATGGATCAGTCATGTTTTAGGTTTGTGTTGCAGCAAGTGGAAAAATGAAGGATTGGTTCAATCAAACAGCTGAAGATGAAAAGAAGGCGGCTTCTGCACCAGAATAATGATCCTGAACACGCCTTAAAATCCACAACGGACTGTCTGAAGAGGCACCAACTCACTGAAGAAACTCACAGAAAGTTTTTGCAAAGAAGAACGAAGAACCTGAATCTTGGCTGCTTCAAACAGCATCTACCAGCTGTGATAGTGACTCTGCAGGGTCAACAAACTTCTGCTGTGACCTCTTCAACTTTTTTAGTGCTTTGAAAGTGCAAAAGAAGGAAGTAAAGAAGTAATCTTGTTTAAAATATTAAGGTTTATTATTTCACTTGATGTTTGCCTTTTGTTACTCTCGTACTCATTTAAATATTCACAATAGAAGAAACGTGGACAGGTGTGTCTAGAGGTTTTCATGCTGCTGTGCAAACTATACACATTTAAACTGGATGAATTTAAACTTTTTTTTTTTTTCATTGTGAAGGTATGTTGGGCCTGAGACTTTACCGATGGGCCTGGTTGCCCTGGGTGACCCCTCTGTCCAGCCCAACCCTGGAGACAAGAGGAGACAGACGAGGAGATGGTCATTAAACAACTAACACTGGAATACACACAAACTTTACAGGTTGATTTCAGCAAAAATCTGCATTTGATTCTGCAAAAGCAGCCACAGCATCCTCACAGATAAAGTGTTTCTTTAACAACAGCATGATAAAAACTATTAACAACTAAAACGTACCTTGTTCCCTCTGGGTCCAGGTTTGCCGGTGCGTCCGTCTGGTCCTCTGTTCCCCTTTAAAAAGTTAAAAATATCAGTAACTGAGCATCGATACGTGTCTTAATCTGTCCTAACTCGTGTTAAGAGCATTAATTTGCATGTTATTCTCACTGCAGTGTCCAAATATAACAGATTTATTTCGCCAAAAGTTAAATTTTGTGCATTTTCGTAGCCAGTATGAAACAGAAATGAAGTTGTAACATATTTCAATGTTACTGAATTTACATTTAAGGCCACAGGAGGGAGCTTTGAGTCACAAAATGTAAGATTACTAAAATTAGATAATCGTTTTCTTCAAGGTTAAAAATCAGTTGAACCAATTTATAACAGAGAATTGCTGAAATCAAAGAAAAAGGGGGTTAATTAGTTCAGTTTGCAGGTCATAGATTACTTTAATGTTGTGTTTTTGTGCTTCTGAAACACTTTAAAACTGAGAAACTCACTCTGATGCCGTCATGGAGGCATTATTGAGGTTTTCTCAGCCATAAATGTTTCATAAAAAGATGAAGGTGTGACATGTGGAAGGATGTGAGCATGCATCAGGCAGATAAAGTCAAGGTGCATGATGGGAAACGTAGGAGCTTCATCCACTCCAGATTAAAACTCTGAAACATCTTAGCTGCTGCTGCTGCAACTTTACAGAAACAACAATAAACGGCTGCATTTTAAGAGACAGCGATTGTTTACCGACGACAGGAATCTGGAATCCCTCAGAAACGATGACGCAGCTTGGAGTGATTAGAGCGACTGAAAGGGGGAATTAATGGGTTGTTTTTAAACCCTTTAATCATCAAAACCTCCGTTAACTTTTACCTCGTGTCCGACAGAAACAACACATGATTCACATCGCTGATACTTTTGCTCGAACAACTGAAGAATGTAACGAGTGATTCCGATTAAGACTTCTTCGCCTGAATATTCATTTTGACGTGCATGTTTGCAGGAAAAAGGGATTTATCGCCTTTCTCCGTTTTTAATTGAAACATAAAATATTTACGTGCAGCAGCAGTAAATCTCTGTGTGTTCAGAAGAGCCGGTTTGTTGTTAAGTCCACATTCAGGAGGCTCTAAAGTTACACAGTTAAACGTGGATCAACACATGAAGTCATCTGACGTCTGCTTCAGACGCTCCAATCGTCACTGACCTTCAACCCGCGGCCGCCCTGCTTCCCCTGAGGACCCGTTTCACCGCTTGTGCCCTGAATAAAGAAATATAAAAATACCAGTCAAGCGTTTGTCATCTTTCACACTCGCCAGGCGAATTCTTCCCCCCCGGCTGAAGGAGCGTTTAACAGAATGTCACGCTGCAGAAACCAGTCGATTCTGTTTGTTTCTGGTGCATTTAAACTTCCAAAACAAGCAATTCACTCGGTTCATTTAGGATAATTGGCTCATGCATATTATTCAACACTTTTAAATGTGACTTTCTTGAGGTTTACAGTGAAACAAACTCTCAACGTGGAAACAGCAGGTTGACCCTTTGCACACACTTTTTTAATTCTAACTCCTATGATATTTTTACACTGTACCTCGGTGCCTCTGGGGCCCAGTTGGCCCTTTGCTCCTGGGAAACCCGGGAAGCCGATGGGGCCCCTCTCTCCCTGAGGACCCCTAATGCCTGCTGCCCCCTGAATACCCTGAGAGAAAAACACAGCAACCAGCCTCTTAGGTTTTTTTGTGTGACTCACTTAGAAAAGTCAGAATTATACAGTACATCAGGTGTTAAAGGTGCAGTTTCACGTGTAACAGTCAATTTTTTCGAGGTGATTTTTGGAAAATTGGCCTCAACAGATTCAGAAAATTGTATAAATTAAAAGCAAATATTACACGCATACACATAAATACATGCACTTGTATATAAAACAGGTCATAAGTTGTTCTTATAGTCAGCAGTAAATCACTAGAGGAGCATATTTTGTTCGCTGCTAAACATAAATCTCTTATCTGGACAAGTTTGTTGTTAATCGCATGTTTCAGTCTGTTGAAATGTCACCTGTCCATGATGAGGTGCATGTTTGTGAAATGTAACCATGAGCTTGACCAACATGCCTGAAAGTCTGTTAGATGATATTAATAGAACAGCCACCAGCAATGTGTTTCTTAGTTATAACTACTATGATAGTGATGACAGCGGACACAGACCAGAATAAAGTCTACGTAGAACTTCACAAGCTGCTGCTGCTATGCCAATGAAACCCACAAGAATTCTCAGAAAATTCATCTCAGTTCAAACGTTGCCACTTAGAAAAAGACAGACTGTGCATGACTTGACTGTAAAGTCTTGATTACTCGTAAGAACTTTAAGCATAAGACAATTAACAAATGCCACAAATCACTCATGAGTGCTGCTTAAGCATAAATGTGTTCGTACTAGTTGCTATTCTATGAGGAAATGTGGTTTTACGGGGGTTATGTGCACGACTATTTCTTAAATGAGCACAATCACATCCTGGAGTATCTGTTGGGTCCCTGACTCTGGACACGTAGATGTCTAGATTCTGTTTGTTAAGTTTAACGTCATGACGTGGTGTTATTAGGGATGTCCTGGTCAAGCTACTTTTTTTGTGCCTCTTAGTATCTGCCAATACTGATCCGATACCATTTTCCAAGATTATACACAGTTTAGTCAGTTAGATGTAGTACCTGATTGCGCCACCAGGGGGAGCGTTTTACTGTTTAACACTGTATTGACCAGCGGAGGCGTCAATCAGGCAACAGGCAGCTAAGTGTTGGCACGCAGAGAGCATTGTGGGGGTTTAATTGGCAACCATGACAAAGTCTTCTTTCGCGCTTAAGAACCTCAAGTCAGACTTAATAAGTTTAAGATGTGGTGGAATTAACGAGGACAGCATGTGGTGACAAATACCACATAAAACAGCAACGACAGCTCAGGCTGAACGCCCGCTGTGCTCAACATGTCATCAATTACAACATATTATTGATCGACAACATTGCAGAGCATCAGGATGATGATTTTAAATTTGCCTCCCTAGTTTCCAGCCACAAGTTGTGCTTTACTTTTACAACAACTGTGAGAGAGTAAACAATAAAACCAGCTTGGGTTTGTGCCGATACCAGTCAGTAAGATGCCTTTATCCTGATATCTGAGATCAGTTTGGGACATTCGTAGTCAGTATTAGATTTCGTTGACAGAAGTAGCCATGGCAAGTCCACAGCTATGTAGATTTAACATTATATATCATCTAAAGTAAGACTGGACTTCATAACTTCAATATCAAAACTGATTTGGCTTGTGAACATGTGAAGCTTCAGAGATGCTGCTACCAGTCACCAAACGATAATACTCACTGAGGAACTGTGTTTTAGGTTACTAAAAGTTCCTACAACAAGTAAAGAACTATATTTTTAGGGGGGAGTGATCTTAATGTAGATTCATGAACCCAACTGGTGAGGAGGAATCATTACAAATGTACGTATTCATCTCTGATTCTGAATGTTTCTACCATGATTTCCACTAATCAATGAAGACTTATAACGTTTGATTAAAATTTATATTTAGACACAGTACTGTTGAACATTAAGGTTAAAGGTAAGGTCATTAGAGATACATCAGAAAAAGCTAAAATTCCCTAAATATTGGTCAACTGTGTGCTTTATTGGATTAGATCTTATTTTTATTATCAGAATATTTCTCTTGCATCTCGAGATAAACACAATTTCATACAAATAACAACAACACAACATTTTAACGGAGCTAAAAAACAAATATGACTTCATATTTAGGCCCCACATTACAAATTAGAAGTTGCAGTAAACCAGTTTAATCACTTCCTGTAGGGTCGAATGTACAAACTGATTTACCAGTTTGACTGTTCAGAGCTGGACAGTCACAAGCTGAAATATTTAAAGTAAAACACACTTTACGCTTAGTTTATTTGCACAATTTGTACAAACATTGTGCTGGTCAGTGAGCTTTAGAGGCTCTTTGGACGAAGCCAGAGTTGCTGTTTCATGTCTTTGTGCCAAGTTAATCTACACGACTGTTGGCTGAATCTTCAGTGTTTCCCAAACAGACTGGAGATTAGGGCCAATTATCTCATGTAGCTCTCAAAAAACAAGCACTTCTTCAACTATTTCTTTATATACTGTGTTATATTCTCTTCTCAGTGCTATTAAACTATAAGTTATAGGTTCCTACCTTGTCGCCTTTCGGTCCTGGATCCCCCTTATCTCCATCTGGTCCTCTGCCACCCTGTTAACAAAAAAAAAAGAGTTAAAATGAGACTCAACCAGTCATGTGTTTCAGCAAATTTTTCTGTAAATCTAAAATGAGCACCTACAGTTTGTCCAGGAAAGCCCACGTGGCCCTGACTCCCCGGTGCACCCTGTGAATGAAACAAAACAACCAACTTTATTGTTTCAAACTGTCACTGAAGATGAAATAATTTCTTAAGAAATGATAAAAAATAACCACCAATCACTCAAACTGAGTAATTAAAGACTAATGAGCAAATTACAGGAATACGTCTACATAATACTGAGAATAAATCAAGGCTTAAATGATGAAGCATGAGCAGGATGTTCTGGAGGAAAAAAGGATTCATGTGCTGAATGAGTAAAACCCTAGAAACCAGCATCCCTTCATGCTCCACTGAGAGGTTCTGACCAGTAGATGGCACTGTGAGGCTGCAGCATCGTCTCTGACAGCAGAGAGCTTCCAGAGAGCAAAGTTCTGTTTTACAGTCTGTGAGTTTGAACAGTGAGGTTCTGGAAATAACACAAGTGGAGCTGCTGCAGTGACAAAAGCTGCACAACCAGCGGGACTGAATTCTCTTTAAGTCGCTCTTACACGCATCCACTTGAGCATTGTTTGTAGCTGTAAGTGTTTTAAGTGGAGCTCACCATGGGCCCCTCGAAGCCGACGTCCCCTCGGGCACCCATCGGCCCCACAGGCCCCTGATACAGAGAGGAAAGAAACACAAAAGATCAGAAAAAGCAACGATAAAAAGCTGCACATTCAGTCAGCTGCCTTTATCGCACTCATTCACTGGGGATGACTTGTAATCAACTAAAACTAGAATGTGGGACTTTTACATACAGTTGTGATGAAGTCGATCAGTGCTGCATAAGTCTTGCAGGATTTTGCAGTAAACTAGAGTTTAAATCTGCTGCCTGGGGCAACATTCCCACACTCGTGCACCAGCAGCGATGCATTTTATGTCACAAAGCTGAAGAAATGAGCAACTGTAGCGATGAAGACGGAGCAAGAATAGAATAGAGCTTCACTGTCATTGTTTAACGACAACAATTAGCAGCACAATACAACAAAAGAACACAAAGTCACTACAAAAAATAGAAAAAAGATCAAAGAAAATAAAGAAAATGAGAAGAATCCATCCATTATCTATACACTGATTAATCCTCACCAGGGTCATGGGGGGCTGGAGTCTATCCCAGCTGACTCAGGGTGAAGGCAGGTTCACCTGGACAGGTAACCAGTCTATCACAGGGCCACACTTAGAGACAGACAACCAAGCACACTCACATTCACACCTACAGACAATTTAGAATCACCAATTAACCTCAACATGTTTTTGGACTGTGTGGGAGGAAGCCGGAGAACCCGGAGAGAACCCACGCTGCACGGAGAGAACATGGAGACTCCACGCAGAAAGATTCCGGTGCCCCAAACGGGACGCAAACGGGGAACCTTCTTGCTGCGAGGCAACAGTGCTACCAACTGCGCCACCTTGCAGCCCAAAATGAGAAGAATGTACTATGTAAAGATAACACTGCACAGCAACTTAAGCATAGGAAGCTTTAAAGAAAAGCAACTCAGCATTCAGAGGAAGGATTACGGCCTTAATAAAAAGGAACCAATCAACATAATTGGTGCAGCTTTTTCTTTAAACTGCAGGCGACGTGGACTTTCTGCTCTCCAACAGGTTGTCTGTTTGTGTAGATTCTGTCATCCAGATTAGAAAAGCTTCAATTAAAAGCGTCTGTTTTTGGTTCTTGAAGACGTTTCAACTCTCATCCGAGAGGCGTCTTCAGATACAGGGTTTCTGAAATGTCTTTAAGGACCAAAAAGAGAAGTTGACTGAGGCTTTTCAGTAAAGGAGTAGGAATAAGGAGGCAGTAAGGAGGCTACAGCAAATGTTTTACCAACATATTGGATTGGAATTTCTCTTTGTTACCGCAACTATTTGTGAACACGTCATTAGTGTGCGTCTGCAGGTTTAAGCTGACAAACAACAAATGTTATTAGCATGAAAAAAGTTGATTTAATCTGAAATATGGGCTAAAATGCACGTATTAAGCACATGTTTTAAATCAAACCCAGATTTTTGCACTACAGCAGAGATGAAAGAGACGCACCAGATACGTTGGATCTCACTTTTCCCAGAATGCAATCACGACAGCATCTTTCATCAAACACATTATACTCTAAAAAACGCGCTTGTTGACCCTGTTGTTGGTGTCGTCAGGGTTATTTTTCAGACTTGTGTGCACTCTCTCAGATGAAAAATCTAAACTAAATCAATAAATCAGCCTCTAAAACAGCACTTTGATGATGTTTTCAGCCAAAATATTGAATTAAAATCTATATTTCAGGAAGACAGAAATGGACAAACAGGGGTTGAAATTAAATTAAACCTAAACTTACAGGATCTCCTTTAGGCCCAGCAGCTCCCATCAGTCCTGGATGTCCCTGTGAGGAAGAAAACTTGGATTAACCTCCTGCTCTTTACTGACAGGAAGCTAAATTAAACAGCATCCTAAGGACCTTTAAAAGCCTTGAACTTTACTCACTTGGGGCCCTCGGAGTCCTGGAGGTCCCATCTGTCCCTCCAAACCTGGAGGCCCCTGAGTGGAAGAAAAGGAAGGTGACACTGTTTATGTCAAACACAGTCACTACGTTGAATCAGTGCAGAATATACACAGTCGAGGTGAATGTCTACCTGCGGGCCTTTGGGGCCGACGCTGCCAGCAGGACCCAAGTCGCCCTGAAAGAGAAAATAAATGATTTATACACAAAGGAAGGAACCTGGGAGGGACATTCAGCTCAATGTAAGTTTTTAGTGATAAAATAAATTCACATTTGCCTCATTTTAATGTTAAATCAATGCTGGAATTAAAACCAAACATTTGATCATCAAAAACTTCAATTTTCATTAAAAAATATTCTCTGATTTCAGCTTCCACGTCAGGATTTAATGCTTTTTCACTTATATTTCATTGTAAATTGATTAGGTGTTGGAAATTTGCGACTTTTTTAACATTTCAGTCTTAATGTCTAATAAAATAATGGAAAATCTATTCATAATTGATAAAGTAATTTATTAGATTCGTGTGTAACTTGCAGGTTAACTAAGAGATCATAATCACTGGAGGTGTATTCGTACCCTCGATCCATTAACTCCCTGAGCGCCAACTCGTCCTGTAACACCCGGTGCACCCTGGGACACACACAAAATGATCACATGTACATTTACAATCGACACAAACAGAAAAATATTTTATCATTAAATTAACCCGTCTGCTTACCGGCGGCCCCGTCAGACCCGGAGGTCCGTGCAGTCCACTCTCCCCCTGGTGACGAATACAAAACAGTTTTAAACATCGTCCTGTTTAACGCATCAGACACTCAGATCTAAACAATAATATCAATAATATTTGCAGTTTTACTTGAATAGTTTGTGCAATATCAGTTTTTCTATGTGTAGCATTTCATTTCATGTGCAGCATTTTATTTTCAAGTACAACACCGTCGATGTGATGTGCAGTATTTTTCATTTTCATCTCATTTTACTTTTTTTTAATTTCATTATAATGTGTGATATTGTTTATTATCTCAGTATAATTGCCAGCATTACTCTTTATTGTTCTGTTGTAGCCTTATGTTAGTTATTTTATTTCACTATTGCATCATATATCTCACTACTTATACTTTTTAAGCACTGTCTTGTGTCATTTTAATTTTTCTGACCAACATCTGACACCAAGAATGTCCTTTAGGGATTAATACATGTCTTATTTATCATTAAAGGCATGGTTCATCCAAAATAGAAATAATTTTTTATCATTTGCACCTGATTTAAGTACATCAAAGTTGGTGTGAAAGTGTTCTGTGGTGTTGTGTTGGTTTTACTATAAATGTCGCCTGTTTAATTTGATTTAATAAAGACTAAATGTGCATTTTTAGCTCAATTATTCCTTCAAATGTCTGGATTTGCACATAACATCATAACGAAGCAGTAAAGTGTAAGTGAGACCCAAAAACAAAATCTTGAGCAGTTAAATTTGCATCGATAAACGTCACTCATGTAAGGTGCAAACTAATAAAATCACAACTTTTCCTGTGAAAAACTAACTTCATCACATCACTCACATCAGGTCCAGGAGGCCCCTCTGGCCCGGAGCCACCTCGGATCCCCCGCGGCCCCTTCAGAGAAGATTAAACATGTCAACTTAACAGCGGCGCATTATTAAAAATACACAGAAAACACTGTATTCAGAGAGGGGATTAATGATACAGATTACTGCCCACTGGTCGGAGCGAGAGTGCGAAAGCTGCGAGACACAGATTTCCAATTTCTTGCCAAAGCGGAGTCAAAAAAACGAGAATAGGAGTAAAAAAAAAAGAAAAAAAAAGAGGGAGTCGTTGCTGTTTGGAGCTCAGAGTTCAAAGGCGGACTGGATTAGGGATTAAAACGGATTCAGGAGCGCATGTTTTTCTTTCACAAGGGCTCACAGTTTGCTTTGCTGCTTGTGTTTTACACCACTTGGATGGAGAATAGAAACGTATCACACGAGGACAGCCGGTTTTCCGTCATTGTTTTAACTGATCCTGGCATCTTGTTTCAGCAGACCGTACTCACCAATGACATGTTCTTCAAACATAAGCTGCTTTATGAAATAGAGAAAGGGGAAACGCTCCTGAAAGACAAAAAAAAAAAAAAAGGAACCACAAAGATGCTGTAATGACGAGATACTCACTGGAGGTCCGATAAGACCAGGTGGACCAGGTAAACCAGTCGGGCCCTGCATGAGGAAAAAATAACAAAACAATCATGGCAACATATTTGAGCAGAAACAGACATCCGAGCAGCTCTGTGTGGTGATTTCTGCCTCTTTTGCACATAAATTCACACACTGGCAAGCCAAAACATTATGACATTTCTCCATTTGTCCCACATCCAGCATCTCAATTATGGGAACCGACTCTACATTTTCCACCTAATCTATCCCAGATCTTCATTGTGTGCCAATGTTGTGAGATAATCAGTGTTACTCAGTGTTATCTCAGCGTGGTCTTAATGTTTTGGGTCATTAAACCAACCAGAGCCCCATCAGGCCACAACACATGTAATATCAAGGATGGATGATAATTAAATACATCAACTATTACCTTCTCACCAGGTTCACCAACTTCCCCTCTTGGACCTTTGAGGCCAACGAGACCCTGAGGAGGTGAAAAAAAAATTGTCAAGTGTGCAAGTCAGTTCTTTCTCGGCTTATCCAGCGTCAATCAATTTCACCTTAATGACACGTAGTTAATTGAGTTTTTCCTCCTCTGAGACCAGCTGCTCTGCTGCTGAGAATGGTTAGAATCTAGATTTTTACTTTGCAGCATGTTTTAGTTTGTGCTTGTAGTGTTCAGGTTTGTAGTGACTCTTGATTCATGATACAGTCTGTGACCAATGAAAACAGTTATGAAAAGGCTCACTTGATATAGTGGTTTCATTTGCAGGTAACGTGAGGTCATGTTTCCTGATGGCATTCACCCCGCTCTACCTGGACGACATGTTTTTTCTTCACATCCAACAACTATTGAGTGCCTGGCCTTTATTTCCCTTTCCCTTCAGAATTAATACACCATTTTAAAAAATAGTCAAAGTCAGGATTTGTTAAACCTTGCATGAAAGAAGGTTTAACTAATCCTGACTTACTGGCTGAGCAGCTAAAGTCGTGGATCGTAATTGATGAAAAGCTACCTTAAAAAGCAACACAAAGCCATGAGACTTTAATTTACCATGAAAATAATGACAAGAGTCTGTAGATGAAGCGTTTATATTCAAATCTCATTGTACTAAATAACGTTTCGTCCCTCTTCAGTCATTGATTAAACCCTAAAAATGAATTTATTTGCATCAAAACTATTAATTCAGACGTTTGTTTTTTATTAAGTTATTTTTTTGGCCTTAGTGCCTTTATTGGATAGTGTTAGTGAGAGAGACACAGGAAAGTAGGGGAGAAGAATGGGGGAGGACATGTGGGAAAGCGTCATGAGCGGGATTCGAACTCATGACCTCCACATTGGGACTGTAGCCCTGCACATTGGACACCAGCTCAACCAGGTGAGCTATATCGGCGCCCCATTTCAGACATTTTTTAAACAGAATGTGTCATCTTCTGTCTTAAAATGTCTTGGATGTAAGTCTACACTGCTTGAGAACATGCAGCTCTATGAAGTCTCTCTCTCGCTGCAGCTCAGCACACCAGCTCACTCAATGACAGGTGGCAATATTGGACTAATTCAGCCAAACATGTTTAAACGGGAAACTTATTCTGAAGAGAACTAATTGTACAAAAACCCTGCAAGATGACGGGAGTGTTTCTTTAGGTTTATTATGTGTAAAATGATGAAAGTCTGAATCTGTGTTTTTGAAACTCACCATGTGGACATGCTAACAATTAGCTTTAAACTGTTTTTAGCTGCACTAAAATAATCGTTCAGAAATGTTTGCATAATTTCAAACACGACATGGTAACGTTTCACAAAACGTGGCTGAAATTGGTGGAAAAAGGTAGAACTTGAACTCCTTGCTAGAATCACGTTTACTTTGATCAGATAGTTCCTGATTTACATCAAATAATGAGCAGAGTTGCAGACACAATTCAGTTTAGTCAAAGTAACTGCACATTGTGTTTTGACGCACTAAAAGCTTACGATGTGTGATAAGACCGCCAGTGAAAAAACAACTAATTGCAGGTGATTTAAAATACAAAGCTACAAGCAGACACTTGTGCTACCAATCAGAGTTGTGCTGGAACAGCCCTTTAATAATGCAATGAGGCTCCGCTGGATGTGCTATTAGGACTCTGGAATCTCCTGTTTAATTCAATCTGAAAAATGCAAAGCAAAAGCACTCTTGCTGTTCCCCTTTTCCCGAAGCTATTTAACTATACCTTTACTTCTCAGGGACATTAATAACATCAGCAAGCACTTGAGCAAAACTTCGACTTTGACTCAGCAATAATGTCGTCTTACCATCTGACCGTCTTGTTACGTCGTCACTCACAGTGTCAACACATCATTAAGTTAAATGGAAAAAGAAATGTTTGATTTTCTCAAAGGATAGTGTCATTCTAGAAGAAGAAGAAGAAAAAGAAGGACAAGAAGAAGAATAGCAGCAGCTTTCAATATATAGACTTAAAAGAAAAAAAGAAAGAACCAGGAACTATATAAGCTATTTGTACAAACTGTGTGTCTGGTAATACTGTGATGATGGATTATTGTGATGAGAGCGTTTATGGAGGAGGTTCCACACATTTGACTGCTTGTAGATAGAAACTGTCGAGCCCTGATTGACCGAGTTAGTTGAAGCTTCTTTTTAAAGTTATTTTTTTGGCCGTTATTAGACAGGAAAGTGGGGGAAGGGTTGCAGCAAAGGGCCATGAGCGGGATTCGAACCCAAGACCGCTGCATCAGAGACTACAGCCCCTGTACATGGGTTGCCAGCTCAACCAGGTGAGCTAAAGCGGCGGCCCTAGTTGAAGCTTCTTTAGAAAAAAGTGTCCTACTTACAGCAAATGTACAAAAAGGCAAACTGAGGCTAAAAGGTTGCAGCAGACTGTATACAGTACAACCATGTGTTCCTGACTCGACACATGTATAATGTCACAACAGTAAATCAGGAGCTTCGACTGTTCTTTCCTGCAGAAGCAGCTGGGCCGTTTTATTCCTCACCTCATCACCTTTTTCCCCTTTGGATCCTCGCTCTCCCCTGTAACCCCACAGGCCCTGACGCCGAGGAGACACAAGATGGAAACATTTCAGCAGATGAGCACCTGATTTACTGTCTTTAACGTGGTCATGCTGCACATGCACCAACACTAACCGGTGGTCCAGGAGCACCAGGTGACCCCTGCTGGCCGTCTTCCCCGTTCTCCCCGTCTCTCCCTGGAGTCCCGGCTCGTCCAGGAGGACCCCTCAGACCGATATCGCCCTGTCAGAGGACAAAATGATCAGAGATGAGCCACTGTTGATAACGACTGCTTCTTTATTAGCCTGTTCGTGAACAGTTACAAACAACCAAACATGAAATGCAGCGAGCGAAACCTCAACAGTCCACAGCTGCGAGGAGCTTCACAGTGGGAAAGCTCCATTATAAATTAGAAGTTTGCAGTGTGAAGACTCCAGCGCTCAGCGGAACCATCCATCACTCGGACGGAGCATCACCTGAAGAACAACACGACTGTCTAGCAGGGTTTGGCGTGCAATAACTCTGACCTGCAGACAGGTGGGAAGCATGCACAGACTCTCAGAGAATGACTAAACCACCTGTGTTGGCACCGGACGGCGTTACATCGGCGGGATGATGGATACGGTGTTGTACACGCAGAGACTGGCATGATGAATTATTTAACACTGGTCGGCTCACGCTCCAGTTCAACGCACACTTTTAGAATCATAAATAGTTTGCAATCTGTTCTAATGTACTTTTAAAGGCAGCTATAAATTTGTTGTTACTCGTACGTTGATGTAAAGTATCTGCTAATTATAAATCTCCCAATAAAGATATATTTTATATTATTATAACCTGGTTTTTACTACATTATCCTTTATGTTAACGCAGCAGCCTCCAATTACTGGTGGTGTAGTTATAATTGTTCACATTAAAAACACTTGTATACGATGCGTATTTACTCTACAAAAGATCACAAAACAACTAAAATACAACAGCTATAACTACCCAGAGTGCTGGTGGATGCTTCAAATTGTTTGTTTCATCATAAACATTTACATTAAACAACATTCATTTCGTATTTGTTGATGAATTGACGAATCACTACACACGTTTACATCTTCAAGGGGAGTTTTTGGCCACAAAACAGCTTCACTTTTCAACCTTTTTTGGATACAAGACACTTCAAAATGACAAAGCTTGCTGCTCAAAAGTAAGAATTTAATAGATGCAACGTTTTGTTCGTTAAATACCTTTTATGGCTTTAAGGTTTATTGTGAATCCAGTGGTTTAGGTTGGAAATCAGAGAGGCATCACACAAACAAAACAGTTTGTAAATATGAGTGAGAAGTAGGTGATAATATGTGGTTTTGTATGCGCTAATAAAAATGTGCATTTCACTCACGTAGACAACACAGCGACTGAAACACAAACAACAACAAACAGCAGATCAATATTCTCGACCACACTGATCCGAACACAGCAGACACCACAGGCGGCTGAGTGTTTTCAACGAGATCAAACCTCACAGTTTCTCGTTTCCAGCTCAGACCTCACACTGGTCCTGGCTTTCAGTCTCCACAGCGGACTTCCAGGACTCATGTTTATGTATTTTCAGATGGATGCAACACAGTTAAATCACCTTCCACCCTTAGAAACCCAAACAAATTAAGTCAGAGGTTTTTAAATTGAACGTAATTCCACACTAAGGGACAAAAAGCGAAGCCGCACAATCTAAATCTAGCAAACCTGATTAACTAGGCCTCAGTGTAATCACATTTTGGAACTTCTTAATTTAGCAATAAACTACTTTCATAGTTTATTCTCAGAATATGAGAAAGGTTACGTCATAGGGAGGGTTTCCAAACTCCCACTCCCTTTAACCACACTGGGCTACATTACACTTCATTCATTTAGAACGAGCTGCACCAACCAGCTTTGTTCAGCCCCACAAAAATCTGTTTTAAACTTGGACCGCCATCCCAAAGTTTACCCCAAACACCAAATATGTTGGATTATATTACAACAGAACGAACAGAAAATGATGCCCTAAAATAAACCAAGTGTAAAATTAAGTGCAAGCACAATGGAGCTGGACAGAAAATCTAAACCTAAATTCTTAGGATTTGAGACACAAACAAATCCAAAGAACAGAGCTAACATCAAAGAAAAGTCTGTTTAATGATGGGCTGCACTGATTGACAAGCCTCGCTGCTATAATATTGAGCTTTTTGCATATGGCAATTGTTTTGTAGCTTTGGAACATCTTATTTATCCATAATTGATTAAAGGTGGAAGCTGCAACTCTAACATTTAGATAGCATGTGCCACATTTATTGCTAGTTGTGGCTGTCAAGTTGTTTTAACATTTTTATAGCTGAGTTTAAATTAAAACTGCAGATATCTGTAACATCAGTCTAACTAGTCAAAGTCACAGCTGCTTAAAGACGTCTGTATTTCAGTTTTGACTGGTCAAAATAATAGCTGTAGATATCTTTAACGTCATTGTCCGAGATATTGTGCATGATGCCAGGTTTCCCACTGGGTATTTGCTCAACAACGCATTTGAACAGTGTTAGTAGAAATAAGAGATTTGTGTGTTGGAACAGATAGTTAGAAAATGCCACGAAATAGGAAGAGCTGATTAGCAGTTTGAGGATAACGAGAGCTTCACTCATCAGAGACTTACAGTTGAAACTGACAAGAACTTCGGCCTCTGGCTGCTTTAGTTACGAATCCAGTACCATGGGATGTTTATGAAGCAACCTGTCTCAGTCTCCAACTTGAGATAACTGGAACTTAATTTTGTCCAGTCAAAAATCTAATTTGAGATATCATTTTGACTCGGCAGACATCCAGTTTGACATATCTCCACATTCAGCGTACATTCAAACACATCCATCCATCCATTATCTATACACCGCTTAATCCTCACTAGGGTCATGGGGGGCTGGAGTCTATCCCAGCTGACTCAGGGTGAAGGCAGGAGACACCCTGGACAGGTCACCAGTCTATCACAGGGCTACACTTAGAGACAGACAACCAAGCACACTCACATTCACACCTACGGACAATTTAGAATCACCAATTAACCTCAACATGTTTTTGGACTGTGTGGGAGGAAGCCAGAGAACCTGGAGAGAACCCACGCTGCACGGGGAGAACATGGAGACTCCACGCAGAAAGACCCCGGGTGTCCTCACCGGGACGTAAACTGGCGACCTTCTTGCTGGAAGGCGACGGCGCTGACCAACTGCATCACCTTGCAGACCACATTCAAAGACATCTTGGACTGATTTATTAAAAGTTAGTTATAAACTGTTTATTAAAGGCTTATTAAAGCAGTTTTTAAAATATGTATTTCAGGCATATTAAAGGTGTTTTTAAGGTGTATTTAAGGCATATTACTTTTACAGATTTTGTAGCAAATATGAAGAGATATTTACCGCCCTGTACTGAATTTGTACCTTTCATAATTAGTCTAGCTATAGTTCTTCCAGGGAAACAACATTTCTTTACACTATTTTCTCTTTGCCATCTTCAAGTGCAACAAAACTCACGTAACGCTTAATTTTTCCACATACTTCTTTAAGTGTCAAAACATCATACAACACTGTTTGTCTCAACATAGCTCAACAACAAAATGTAATGTTCCGGATAAAGTAAACATAACACTGTTCTCTACGGTTCTTCATGTGCATTAGCACCATGTAACACTGCTCTTTTCTCTTGATAGGGTTTTGATTGCAGTAACAGCAATGCAGCAATCTTATCTACGACTGGAACAGGAAGTGTTGGTTGGCCTGCTCACCATCTCTCCAGGCATCCCTGGTTGTCCTCGCTCCCCAGCTTCACCAGAAGGCCCCTGAGAAAAAAAAGAGTTAATCAAATACATGTATTCATGCTCCTCATTTGCTTTAGAAGTCGTGACTGGAGCTCATCTCTGACCTGTAGGCCGGGTTTGCCCATCTCTCCAGGTGGTCCTGCAGGGCCTTCTTTACTCTGCAAGCTCACAAAGAAGAAAGCAGCTTCAGGTTCACAGAAACTAACAAAAACGTCTAAATCCTAGCAGCTGAAAGGTTATCACAGCATACTTACAGGCCAACCAGCGACAAGCAGCTGGTAGAAATTGGTTTGCTGCAAAAAGAAAGGAAACACGAGGTAAGTTATAGACGCAGGAATAAATATAAAGTGAGAGAAAATATTTTAAAAAACACCAGTCTTTAGTCATGAAAACATAACTTATCAAACTCTTCCTGTAGTTAGGAATGTGTCTTTGCTTTATCGCTGACCCTCATTCAGAGTGAATGTTAGTATATAAATGGCCGCCACAGGTCGTCCACATAAAGTTCAAAGCACACACAGTAACAAATCCCCTCCACAAAACACGAGCAGACTTTTATTCCTGCCATCTTTTTTCAATAACAGACTTGAAGTCCTCCATCATGCTGACATACTGTGTGAGTGCGTATTATACAACGTACAGCTGTGGCCAATGCAGAGAGATTAAACAGATGAGGACGGAGCATCGGCTTGCACGCACAATAACTGCAGGGTCAGAGGTCCTACAGATAGTCTGGGGATCTCATGGGTCGAGGTAGGATGGAGGATCATTTGATGTCCTGACAATGAATTATCTGAGCGCTAAAAGGAGAGAAGAAAAACCGTCTCCTAAGCCCTGGATGACGTTCTGTTTGAAGGAACACTTGGAATCCTGTTAGTACCAGGATTTAGATTAAAATAAAAGGTATCAATTTCCACTCTCTGCTTTCGGTAATGAGATCAGCCCAAGTTCTTCACGTCTCTGGATCAGTCCACTATAATAATGAGCTGATTTCCACCGCAGGAAGGTGCTGGTCGTTTTATAGAACGCGAGAGTGCATGTCGACTGCAAAACGGCACCTGCAGAACCTCTTTCAGGGTTGTTGTCGAGAAGGAAAACCAAGAAGGTATTCTTGCCGTGCAGGGTTCGATGCTGGTTGGTTAAATTCAAAAAGGAAAACAAGCACAATTGGTTTTGCCATCTGGAAGTCAAGTAGCAGTCAGCAACACTTTACCATATAGGCCAACAGAAACCACCGTTGCTCTTCTTCCGACTTGCACATGGAACTTGAGTTGGGTTCTGGTAACTTGTATCTGTCATTGTTTCAGTGCACTCAGTTAACACCATGGTTGGAGCTGCTGGATTCAATATCGCAATGGAAACAGAAAGTGCCAATTATGCAGCCATTCCTGTAAATGTTGGCGCTGCCTCACACCTTCCCCCAAGCTCCTGCAGTGGAAAGATGCCTATAGATTTACCCAAACACCAAAAGGCAGAAGAAAATCGTAGTTTTCCTCCTAAAAGAGGCTAAGTCTTCTGACTGCTCCATAATTTACTTCTTAAAAATGTGTTATCTTGTTAGCATGATAGCCCTAAATACAGCCAAGAAATAGCTGAGTTTTGTCACCCAATTCAGATGTCATTAACTCATTAAAAATTCTGTGCCATGGTCATGTTAAGAATGTTGATGTTTCCCATCTCCCTTTAGGGCATTTGCGTGCTAATAAGGCCGATTAATAGTTAGCATAGACAGCAAAAAAAAAACCAAAACAGATGTAGCCACCTCACCTGTTGGTTTATGGTCTACTGTTTTGGGGACTCAAGTTTAGGATTTTGGCAATTTCCATCGAAGTTTTTTAAATTGGATGTGTTGGATCTGACTAAGAACCCAATGGGAACTTCTCACGCCCAGGTGGTAGCAACTTGTCAATCGCAAGGTCGTCCTGCCCTATATCCTACACTGCTTCGGCGTAAATGTTATCATAATTCATCAAACGAACATCAGGCTGCTTCAAAGAAGACTTCAAACTACTGATTGAAACCATAAACTAATGAGTAAAATGTTTATTGAAAGAACAAATGTGGGAAGGAATTGGATAATTTTCTCGTAGACTTCTATACACGTTGACTTCTATATGAAACCAGATGAGTCGCCTCCTGTTGGCTGTTAGAATGAATGAAAGTTTAAGGCCCTTCCAAACTGGCTTCGCATTCATCTTTTATATGCAGAACATGGCAGATAAAACAAAATTATGACAGTTATATTATTAGCTTGTCATAAACTTAAGTGCTGGATAACATACATTTTTAACAATTTTTCTAAGATATTTTAGTTTTAACCATCACGGTGCACAGACCAAACCACTAACCAATAATCTGGTCAACCAGCTGACAGACTGGTAATGCAATCCCAAGACATGATAAAACGTTGTCAGTTAAGCAATATGAAACCACCTGATTTTTCTAAGATTATATCTGAATGAAAATACATTTCCGTTTATTTTCTACAAAAACCTCCAACTCTATGGTCTTTTTTTTCAAGCCCAAAGAAGTGCAGGTAGTAGGACTAGACGAAAGAGAAATTCATATACAATAGGAGACACATGGACTTACTGCAACCTACTGTAAATAAACTGACAAATTAAACAAGCATGTTTTACCTGGAACGCAGCCCATTCCTCAGCGGTGTTCTTCCACAGGTACAGGGTTGGTAAACCCGGCGGTCCAGGAGGTCCTAACTCCCCCCTTTTCCCTGCTCTCCCTTCAGGGCCAGTCTTACCCTGTGGCCATTGAAAAGGAAGTTGTACGTTATGCAAGACGAATCAGTTCACATGGGAACCTACTATAGCAGCCCTTGTTTGCAACATTACATCATAGAAGAGATCTGATACAACACCAGGGTTCTGGCATGAAAACAAGCGTTTATAGCAGTAGACATTAAAACGTCCGAGGGCCAAGTTGAGCGTTAAAACAAGACACCACCTCGGATGTTATTTCAGGGCTGTGCAGAACAGGAGTGGACATAAATCCTGAGGAGGTGAGTGGACAAACTTAACACATCATCATAGGTTATTGCATTGTAAACATGCTGGTGTTACCTTATCACCTTTAAACCCAGGAAGGCCAGGCTCACCCAGACAGCCCTGTGGAAACAGTGACTCTTAATGAAACTCAGAAGACAACAACGCTCTGAGGATAAAGCACTTTTCAAGGTACAAAATAATATTTATGAACTACTTCCAAAACCCACAAAGTGTTCAAAGTGTAGTTTCTGCAACTGTGTAGTAGCGAAAACAGTGACTTGAGAGAAAAGCAATCACAGGAACCTTGTAGAATATCAGTTTGTTGTCTGTTAAAAAGCATAAGCCATGTCAATAGAATGCGAACATTAAGAGTAGAGTGTTCAAATATAATGTACAGTTCCTGTATATTCAAATTGCTTGGAACTGTGTGCATCCTTCACAAACTCTGTTGTTTTGGTTGAGATCTAGACAAATTCGTAAATTTAGTAAATCTATTGAAAAATTTGCTGTAGTTTTTGACAGAGCGTGAAAACAAATGTCCTGCAGCACGCTTATTTAAAATTTCACATACTTGCATTATTATTTGATCCAATATTTGGCATTTTCAGATTATCTGTATTGTTATTTTATGGTATTTTGGCTCTGATACAGCTAATTCTCTCTACATAAAGGCATATAGTTAAGACAAAGCCATAAAAAAGTTTTGTCTTGAAGTTTTTGGTATTCTTAGCTTTGCAACCAAGATTTTCAACTTTAGTCCAAATACGCATTACTTCCAAATATCGGTTCTGATCACCTTGATTACCAATAATTGGTATCAGCCCTGGAAAAAAAACAAAAAAACATTGTTTGATCTTCCATCCATCCATCCATCCATCCTCCTTTGGTGCCTTAATATTCATTTTTCCAGTTTAAAAGAGCCTCATAAGGAGGCTGGAGACAGGTGTTGTTCTTGTCAGACCATTATTATATATCAGTCGCTGTTAGGTAAGGTTTATGTTATAAGAGTGATTTGTTATTTTTAGATAAAAAGATCATACTTTGGTTTAAGATACACTCTCTCACAACACATGGCACCATTTCAGGAACACAGGGCAAACCTCTTGTCGCCTAAAAAAAGCATGTCAGTGACGACACAAGCTAAGAACATCTGGCTGCAAACTCATTGCCTCTACTTCTGTCACTTCTGACAGATTTTTACTAACTACTTTGAGCGTTGAAAATGCCATCAAATGTGATGTCGAAGCACAGCAGCTGTGTGCGACGCGTTAGGGTTGGCACCAGGCTCAAATACTTGTTTCAGTTATTTGGAAATATAAAGTTATTCCACCTACTATTGAAATTCGAACTTTCCTGAAACATGCTGTTTACTAAAATATAAGGTTTGAAACAACACTTGCAGAGGACAGCTCTACACCAGGAGACGTCAGCGAGGCCTGAGATGTTGTACACGAGGAGGGAGAAGCCAACAGGACGTCTTCCCTCCTGTTCCCTACAGCCGGCTCCAATCACAGTAATCGTGCTGAGAGATCCTGTGGATTTTATGGCGGCGTGACTCCAGATGTAACCAGATGTGCTGTGTGCTTTTGGTTCTGTCTGCCCTGCAGTCCCTGTAATGGCCCACCTCTTAAACCAGCTAAGTCTTCCGACTGGATAGTTTAAGTTGACTTCATTCCTTCTCTGCACCAACCAGACAATTTGGTAGCCAGAGGTGAAGATTGTCATAATGAGTAATGCGATGACAAACTGTTGAAGGTCCTCAACCATGCGGCTCTCTGAATGCTCACATCGCAGCATCAAAGACATGTGGATGGACATATGTTTGAGCAGTGTAATCATCCCTGATCAGAGTCAGATGGCGGCTGATGGAGAACAGCTCTTGTAAGCCGTAAAGCATAAACAGTCGTCACACTTTCTCCGTTCACATGGCTTGTCCTGACTCCTTTTTAGATCTCATCTAATGACACATAGCTCTGATATTATACATCCAATTTTCTGTTAAATCAGCAGGATTCAAGCCTTTGCTTTGGTAATCAATATCCAAAACAACTGCAATGGCAATAAACACAAAAACTTAGATTCATTACTCATGAAACATTTTACAAGAGAACTACAAAAAGTTCTTGGCCTTACCAAAACATACAAAATAAAAATGCACTTGGTCCACCAGTGTTCAAGCTTCATGGAGGAAGGTCACATCTTGAGCCTCCAGGCACTCCTGAACAGCATACATGACCTTTTCATCACTTTGAAAATGGCACAAATGGGATTTCAGTTTGGGAAACAGAAGTCCGATGGTGCAGGTCAGGTGGAGTAAGGTTCAACAGTTAAAAGTCACCGTCTAGCTGCTTGAGTCGCTGCCATTTTCAAAGTGTTGATGAAGTCATGCATGCTGTTGGGAAAGATGTGGAGGCTCAGGATGTGACCTTCTCCCATGAAGCTTCAACATCAGTGGACCAAGTGCATCAAAGTTACAGGAGATTATGTTGAAATATTAAACAAGAACAATCTTTCTCCTGTGACAGTTTTTGGTAAGGCCAAGAACATTTTCAAGCATCCTTGAACATCAGGCAGAGCCATGTATTGACTATTTTCTTTGCTGTCATGTGGAAAAACAAGCAGGTATCATAATCGGATACATCCAATAGCACTAAAACAAAGACACAAGAAGATGATATGACCACTTACTTCCGGCCCTGGAGGACCCATTCTGCCCGGTGGTCCCCTTTGGAGTCGGTACATTTTACCACCAGAGCCCCGGACTAGGTCTCCATCTCTGGATACAATGGTCACAATTCCAGTGCGATCTTTGACCGGCTGTTCAAAGTGTGTGGTGGGTTTTCCTTCCTCTACCTTCACAGAAGGAGAAGAACTAATGACGCGAGATGTTGGTGAAACAGTCCAGGTCTCTTCTCTTAGTCTGTTGGGGTCTGTGGATGTTCTAGGATCCAAAGGGTTCTTTGGAAGCACAGGAGACCCTAGTGATGGCTTCTTGGAGGAACTTCCGATGTCCAAGTTAATGATATCATCAGATGGTTTTCCCGGGAACAGCAATGAAGTCCTCCCACCAGAATCTGTCTTCTTTTCTGTTGTAATGTTCTCTTCCTGATTTTTAGATGACGTTTCAGGCTTCCCCTTCTGGCTTCCTTTAGGCCCGTTTCTGGTCGGTTTCCATTGAGGGTCCATGTCGTCACCATTGTGGAAGATTGGATTCAACAAGTCGGTGTCCTCGTCCACCAGAAAGACGCCCCCACGACCTGCTGAACCTTTCCGATTGGGTCTAGAAGGCAGTGTCCCGTCCCCTCGAGCACTCCCCCGTCGCAGGAATGCATTCTGTTGAGAAACAAAAACAAGAATTAGGAATTATTCATGGCTCGTCTCTCCGGCATTATTACAGTGGTTTTCTGGTTTGAATCATGTTTTGATGCTAGTAGATGTATGGGGTATTGTGTGGCTCCGCAATACTGTGGTGGATTGTCTGAGGAGCATTAACAATACTGACAAACATCTTTGCAGCATCTTTGGATTGCAGACAATCACCGATAAACAAAATCGTGCTACATAGAGTGTAAACCTTATTTGTACCTGAGTGGACAAAATCAAAAATGCCACCTGCAAAATTTACAATAACAGCATTTCGAGATTGAAAAGATGAAGGCAATAAGAAGCCATGTGAACATTAAATCAACTGTTACTGTGAATGAATAAAAAGTCATTATGTAATCCAGAGATCTTGATGTTTTCTTGACAAAGTTCTACTTAAAAGACTTAAATTCAACCCCGACCACAGACCCTTTCCCACAGAAAAACACTGCTGCAGACCCTCTTCCCATCATCTCTTCCCTGACATCTGGTTTCATTTCATCTGCCTTCAAGTCAATTAGTTCCTCATCTTTTCGAGACAGTTACCATTAACCCATCTGCCATCAAACACGGCACACCACTACTGATTTTGTCATTTCTTTTCAAAACACTTGAGTGTTACGCCTCTAATCAACATTTCAGCGGTTTGCGCTGAGCTTCCTGCTGCAGCCAAACCAGTGAGAACTTTGAGCAAGATTATTGCGAACCTTTCAGAGCTGCACTCTGTTTGCTCTTTGACTGTTGCTGTACGTCAGGTATCACATTCGTTACTTAGCCACACTGTGGTTTGGATACCACTGCTGTTGTGTTGTAAATACTGACAATAAAGCTCTCTTCTTTGAAACTATGAAAGGAAATTCCCTACCACCCAAATTCCACTGCCATCCCTAAAAGCCTGTACATCTGTTATCCTTCAGCTGATAGTCAGGTTAAAGCATGCATCTCTGCTTATCTCTAGCTGGATCTTCTTCAACAAGTTTAACATAAATCTTGACAAGACGGAGATGCGCTGTCTTCTTTTTGTACCTGTTCTGTCTGGCACAGCTTTTACCTCCCTGTTAAAAGTACGACAGTGGCTCATTTCCCCGTGACATGAGTCTTGGCACAGTTCTGGATAAATGAGACAACCTGCAAATACTTCTTCAGCATAGACTCTAGTGTCACTCCTTCCTTTCACCTCCTCAAGGGAGTTTATGTAGTTTAGAGCTTCAGACCAAAGCTTTACAACTATTCTCTAAATGTTCTCACTGTAAATCTGCTGTAAATCAGTGTGGTCAGCTGTCAAAATGTCAACTTATTATGACCGACTCCCATTTTGTGGCTTCTCTCTCTCAAAACAAACACAGCAGTTTCTGTGGTATCCAGAGGTGACGGTGCAGACACTCCAAAATTAACAACACGCCAAACGAACCAAGCATTTTTCTCTTGCCGGTCATGCTGCAGTACATCCACACACACGAACAGCAAAACATGCTAAAATGTTGGGCCTCAGGGATCGGTGGCGTAGTGAGAGAGGCCTTTCAGGGGAAGGGACCAAAGGGCTATAAATTTTGTTTGATGACCCTAACGGGCTGAAATGGAGCACGCTAAAGTGGAGCTGAGAGGCATATGGAGAGCAGGAGGAGACAGGGGTGTGCACGGTCTGAGGAAGAAAGTGCAGAGTTGTACCTTTCAGAGTGCATATGTCAAGATGGGTAAATTATAGCAGAACACTGATAACATTGCTAAATATCAGAGGTTTAAAGCCGTGTGTTAGCATGAAAATTACACAAAAAAAACCCCTAAAAACATGGGGATAAGGGGGCGTTATTTTTTAACCAAATTACCAACCAAATGAAACATCACATGAGGCTTGTGAACCCATTTGTTAGTAGGTATTGCTGAAGTGCTTGGTACAGCTACCTGCATAATTTAAGACATTTGCTGAGGTTATATAATTGCACTTCTAGGTGTATTGGTGCTTTTGAGGTCTGCAGACCTCTTTTCTGGCATCCCAGCTGAATAAATCCTGCTAAATAAATACCGGCTTGATGGACATGTAAATGTATGCATCTGGCTCATGGCAAACTTGGTATTTAGGGCACTCTGTTTATTTAAAATAGGTGTTTAGAGTTCTGATGTGCACCAACAACAACCTGTATTTTTGCATTCTTTGTCTGTTCTCCATCTGCTATCCTCACACCGACCTCCTACCCTCACCTTCACCCTCGCCCCAGCCAGGTGAGGCAGATGGCTGCCCTCCCAGAGCCTGATTATGCCGGAAGTTTACTTTGTCCTTTGTGGTAAAGGGGAGTTTTTCTTTCCTTCACGGTGTCTCCAAGTGCTTGTTCAAAGGGAGTCCAAAGAAAACTTTGGTTTTGTTGGGGTTTCTCTGTGTAAATGTTGTAAGGTCTTCATGTTGCTATGCAAAGCGCCTTGAGACAACATATGTTGTAAATTGGCGCTATATAAATAAAACTGAATTGAATTGAACTGCTTCTGACAGGAGACAGCGGGCAATGGTTCGTGCAGTTTATTCTAAATTTTGACCTTTACATCAATGTCTGAGAGCCAAACAAAAGTTGTCATGGGAAAAAAACACAAGACCTGGAGGAAGAAAATGGTATCAAATAGAGGAATGAAGTGGAACCAGACACAATTTACGAATTCGTTATTACAGAGGAGATCTCAGGTTTCCGTTTTGGTTACAGATATTTGTCAAGGCAAAAAATCAATTGAGCATGCTCTGATTGTGTTATCAGAAAAAAAATGATATCCCCAAACATTAGCCAGAAACAGGCCAGTCGTCTGCCTTTAAATACTGTGTCTGCAATGAAACCCAGCCAGCGACGGTCTGAGATAGGCAGGAGACCAAACACAGAGCCCCAGCTGAAAACAAAAGGGCCTTTCTCTGTCTTATCCCAGGCCACATTCAGGCAACCAGCCCCGGCTGATAGGCAGACACTGGATCTCCTCTGGTCAACACCGTCCCCTCAGCTTATCTCCCCTCCAGTCTGTCAGATATCCCTACCAACGACAGCCCGGGCAGAACTTCACTGGGGCGCTATGATACGCCGGTCAGTCAGTCGGGAGCCGACAGTTATTGAGCGCTGCAAGTTTTCATCAAAGGACTGCAAACTCAGAGAAACATCCATATCTGAGCGTATGACCAACCTTTACTGCTCATGTGGGAGTGTTTACAGACTCCTGTGGTGTGATGGAGATGCAATGAGCAAACCTAGCTTTGAGCTTTATTCTCTCACAGGTTTACGTCATAGTAAGTTAAGATTTTGTACAATATCTTCCCACATGGAACCTACGTTTTTAATTTCATTGTGAAATTTTGACGATGTTAGTGGATTTGCGCACCTAAAATCTAGACTTTCAAATAAAGCAGCAGACATTAAATGTGGTGAACTACACCGTCAATTTTTAAGAGTAAAAGTCAAATGAAAATTGGATTAATGCTTCTACATTAACTAATAAGGCTGCTGTCCATCATGGGATGTTAATGCTGGTCACCGGCCTTCCTTTCCCACCTCTCCACAAATCACCAATTACGTTTAATTAAAAAAAAAAAAAAAAATACCGTCCCCTCAAAACGTAATTGAGAATGCAGTTTAGTTGTATAAAAGCACAATGTAGCAAAGACTGGGCAATGGTATGCTGATTTCTCCTTTAATTTGTCACTCATCTATATGTTGCAGTCACTCTGTGGGGGAACTGATTTATAATTAATATCTAATTTCACCCATTGATGTAACTGTTAGATCAATATACTGATATAAATCTTTGTTTATTAAAGGCGAGTAAAGCCCTCCTTTGTAGAAATGTTATGATTATATTTACAAATTGGCATAAATTTGCACTAAAAGCTACAGAGTAAAACTTCCTTTCTGATCTGTTGGCTGCTAAGTTGTTCATTTTAGCAGCTGGGGGTAAATGTTGGGGCAAATGCTGATTTTTTACGAGCTGTATTAAGATTTAGACCAGACCAGGTATTAAACAGCAATCTACAGGTTACAACCCCAACACTGTAACCTACAGATCACCATTGGAGTAGTGAGGATGTTTAACCATCAAGAATGATGGTTTTTTTTCAGAGAAACTGTAAATTCAGAGTCTTTCAGCTTCATTAACATCATGTTCAATGTCCCAACATGACAGCGCAAAGATTAAACAGTTGTTTGGCGTCAATCTTTGGGACAAAACTGAGTCTACAGAGCAAACGTGGCGCAGCATGAATCTCAGTAGTTATCCCGTCACACAAAACTAACAATCCCAGCGAGTAGCTCTCTGAGCCTTCAGAGCTCGTGCCAACACGGTGTTTACATTCGTTATCTCTTCCTAAAGGCTCTGAAGCAGCAGGCTCAAGCAAGCATGTTTTTCTTTGTATTTGAACAACACTTCTACCTTCGGTGGAAATGTGCTGCGCTGGCACAATGTGAGGACGTAATTCTCTTGGCCCGATACCACAGCTGAACAAATGGCAGTCAGGAAATCAAAAAGGCTCGGTGTTTGTCAGCGGCTGGAGGCTGATAAACAGGCAGAATCTTTAACAAGCTTCTATAAAGCCTCCTTATTACTCCCATCACACATGTCATTTTTTCTTGCTTTCATGCTCGTGTTTGTGAGTTTTAGCAGTTTTCAGGCCCTTGAAACCCAGTTTATGATGGTTAGCCATACTGATCTATTGATAGCTAATAACTTAAGATCAGGTTTCAGGTGACCACAAAGTGATTTGTCTTCTTCTGTATAAACAGTGTTTGTCTTTAGGATCGACACTGGGAAAAAAATTCACATTGTAATTCCAACTGGACCGGCAGGTGGTTTATTTATTAGACAGTGAGATGTAATCTAGCAACACCGGCATCCTGTTTGCTGCAGAGTTGAACAAAGACAAAGTGAAGTCTGCTTATGAAGCGCTCTGTATCGATGTAAAGAGTCGGGATCGACCGGTTTTTCCAATGGCTGAGTATCAGTTCTGATAT